CTCACTCTGAGACCTGTTTAACCAAATCAAGTCATAGAAAACTTGTTTCTCCTCACACATACACAGGCTTAAATTTTACATAAAAGAAGGCAGAAAAGCTGGCTTCTTTACAATGAATGGAGCCCTGGTGGCACAGTGATTAAGCAGTTGGCTGCTAACCAAAAGGTCAGCAGTTCAAATCCACCAGCCGCTCCTTGGAAATACTATCGGGCAATTCTACTCTGTGCTATAGAGTTGCTATGAGTCGGAATGGACTGGACGGCAATAGGTTTGGTTTTGGTTTTATAATGAATAACTTCTCTCAGCCTTGGAGAAGAGGCAAAAATTTGCTACAGTGAACTCAGTTGAGAATCTTTACCACAAAACTGAAGTAGGTAGTGGGTGCTTGTTCTTAATTATGAATGTTGAGTGCTTTTTCGTTTGTCCTAAATACCGGACATTCTGACTTTGGACAAGGGCTCGTAAGATGTAATGGCTGGTTGAGAGCAGCGGTGAGCTGGCTTTGGCAGGTGGAACAAACCCTGGTTCTTAGAGCCGTGAGAACAGGTCCGGCCTTTCATGGATCACGTTTTCGTTTGTTAGGTCACTGTCTGCTCTGACACCACTGACTGTGCACTTCCAGAGCTGTAATGTGACTTTGGTCATCTGTAGGACACACAAGAAGAGTTGCATTACTAATCTGCACCTTCTTCCAAGGCTGTTGCGAGGCTGGATGCGGCTGCATCAGCAAGTTTTTCACTGAAAGAGCACCCTAGAAGTCCCAGCACCCCTGCACAAGGAGTGGGCACATGACCTGGGGTGTAAACTGACTGCAACGTAAGCAGGCAGAAGAGTCCCGCTGAAGTGACAGGGTTTCCCCAGTGCAGAGGTACATGAGCGCGGAGGATTACCAGACAGTATATGTTGGGGATTTGGAGCCCTTTGAAAGTGAGATAATAAGGTAATTGGGAAAAGGAAACATCAGTTGTTTAATGGAGTTATTTTTTATTTAAGGTTCTTTTTTGGGTTCTGGTTAACATCTTTTTCTCATATCTTTTTAAAAAAGATTCATTATTCCACTTAGCCTCAAAAAGCATCCCTTCTCGTAATCTGTTGCTTGGTGTGTGTCATTTCCCTGAGGTGTGTGAGAGTGGACCTCACGCACGACTCCGCGTGGTGGGAGAGGGAAGGACGTGATCATTGAGCTGTGGTTACTTCTCTTCATTTTATAGAGGGTCCCAGACAGAGCTGGGGAAAAATATAGAACAAAATTCTAACAGAAAAAAAGACCAGACTGACTGGTCTGATGGAGGCTGGAGAAACCCCAAGAGTATGTCTCCGGGACACCCTTTTAACTGAATACTATAGTGACTTCTGAGGTTCACTCTTCAGCCAGAGATTATACAGGCCCATAAAACAGAATGAGACCAAAAGGGCGCACCAGCTCAGTGGCAAGGACAGGAAGGCAGGAGGGGACAGGAAAGCTG